AAATGTAATGACGATATATTAATTTTATACATATATTAGTGTCGTAATTTAATTTCGAGAATTATTAGAATGGATGTGCTAATTTAATCTTTTACGCGTTTGAGTAATTTTGATTAAAATTAAACTTGCAGTTAATTGTTGCGGAATAGAATGAACGAAACACGACGAAAAATGTTCAACTGCGAACAGGTACAGGTGGAAACACAAAACGTAGAACTCCGGTAATTAATCTGGATAAAATTAATTGCTTTGCTGTTTTCGATTATGCAGGTTGTAACACCGCAGAAGTGTGGGGACGTCTATCTGTACGACCTCCCAGCAAGTCGGGGAAGTCCCGCGCCACCCTCCAGACACGAGTCACCCCTCAACTCGACGAACAATGAACATTCACACAATACGGGTACGTATTATTCGCAAACTAAACATTCCGCCTATAGCCAAATAGTAATGGTGAAAACTGTCTGCTAATACTTATTCAACACCTCAGCTATTGATTAATTTCATGTTAGTTTCTGAAATAGTTAATAGTCACTCATTTTTTAAATTAGAGTCGGTTTAATTCCCACCGATGAGATATTTAATTTCGATTTAACTTACTATTTATCTTTTTCTGATTCTCAACATTTTCTCAACTTCGAATATTATTAGGTTTCAATATACAGAATAATTATGAATTTTCTCCTTTATTTTTATAAATATGCATAAAAATATATAATTGTTTATTTTGGAACGGTCTTATTTAGAGCAAATCAAATTCATTATATACATATATACGAAAAATAAATATTCTATGCTGAAATTATCTCATTTATCACCCACACGCCGCTTGCCAACTTATCTTTTCTATACATAACATACTATATATTAGGTGTAGTTCCATTCAATTTCATGCAAAAATAATGGATTTCTTTTTACTACACCTAATATACATATATATATATATATATATATATATAAGCGTCTGTATGAAATGGCTTCCCTGCCTGTTCAATACTCAAAGTTAATTCCTCCGAGGATTCCTTTAAATCTTGTTAACTTTTACCTGCGCAGGACGATATACGAGCAACAATGTGCGAAGTTCTGTCGACAATGGGGGCGGCGACGTGAACGAGTGTTACGACGTACCACCACGCGCGATCCCGGTGATCCCCTCGCCAGCGAGCAGCCCAAGTCCGGCCCCGTCGTGCTATGATATCCCAAGGCCGCCGACATCCTGTACACCCAACTCAAATTGCTCCGGCGGTTCCGGTATTACACCGCTGGATTGTTACGACGTGCCGCGACCGTTGCAACCCCTCACACCCAGCAGCTCGGCCTCCAGCCTCACCAACGACGGCTCCCTCAGCGGATCGAACAGGTACATCCGTTCGCATTTCTACGATGCGTCATGCTATTCGGGCTCAGGAAATTCCCCGGTTACAACATTATGGTAACTCCATTGGACGTACATTCTTGGTGGTTCTTGGAGGTTCAGAAATCCCGAGAATCTCGAAACTTTACGCGCCCTAGAAGTTCCTCGCCTGAAATAAATCAGGAACTGAACAGAATTTCAAGAATCCTGCAAAGGATGATTTAAAGAGTATTGCGAGTTGCGTCTGAAATTCAAGATTGTGTCTCCTTCCACCACTAGGATTTTGGCAATGTCATCAGCCATAAATTTGAAAAGTTTCCAATCTAAAATTTTGCTTCTCGTTTTTCTCCGCGTGCATAACGGTTCCTGGATTCCAGATCGAGTTTGGCCGCTCCAGATTACGATGTACCCCGACCACGTCTTCCAGCGTCCTCGTTGCCGTCCCGACACAATACCCCCATACCGAAGACCCCGACACCACCGCCATCATCGCAACAGATTTATGATGTACCAGTTAGCAAGGAGCTTCCATTGGAATTGGACTCTGCTCTGGAAGGTTTGCAAAGATTGCAGAGCGAGGCGTCCGCTGCGATAGCGAGGCTACTGGGCTTTGTAAGCCCCGGTTGGAGAACACCACAGCGATTGGATGCCACTCTTATGGATCTAAGGCTAGCTGCTCTCAGACTTAGAACGTCTCTTCATGATCTCGCCGAATTCGCGGAAGGTAAATAAATACAGAATTTGATTTAACATCTTAATTTAACATCTTGATAATCTTAAATGTAATTAACATTATCGTAAAAATTATTTTCGTTATTTTAATGAAATAAAATATTAAAATTCTATTTTGATCTTGACACTAATTGTATATAGATTGTTCAGAGTGGGCTTAATATATTCTTATATTTAGATTTGCAACTCTTTAATTCACTGCACAATAATCCTATCTTTCGATAAATATTGAAACAGAATAGCTTTGTTGAAATTTGAAAGAGATTATGTTCTGCGCGTAGGTACGCTGGGCAATGCAGGCAAAGCGCCAGATAAGGGCCTGGCCACGAAATTACGGCCGTTAGTGAAGGCGCTTCGTGATTCTGATAAGCTCGTACAAGAAGCCGCTACTGAATTGGACACGATGGAATGGGACGCGAGTAAACTCTGTCGTGGCGGTGGTGATACACCGACACCTACTAACGGACCTCCGTCCTCACTACTCTTACCTGTGCAGTCAGATCCTCTTGATCAGCTGATCGCGTGCGCTCGAGCACTCACGGAAGACGTTCGTCAGGTTGCTAGTTTCATTCAAGTAAGTATCTTTTATAGCCGTAAGATTTAATATATTTGTTACAAATAACAATTTCCGATTTTACGGAAACGTGAGCAATCATAACAATATTCCTGAAGAGAAAAAGTCTTTCTTAAAATTTCTTTCATTTTTTCTACTATACCTATTTATATGTTTTATTGATATATTTTGTATAATTATATTTTGAAAATAAAAAGAAAATAGAGAATTCATTTTTTTAATTCCCGATTTCTTTTGTGAGAATTAAAATGGAAAAGATAAAAGAATAAGAAACATTTAATATCTACTTGACCGGAATACATTTATAATATATATTTTATCAAGATTTAAATTTAAGTAAGGATTCTATTTTTTTTAATTTTCGATTTCTCTTAAGAAAATGGATACATAAGATAAAAAAAACTTTTAATGCTTATAATTTAATTTTTTATTTTGGATTTAATAAAAAAATATAATTTTTAAAATTTTTAAAATTTTTTTTAAATTTTGGATTTTTTAAATATTATGCGAATGAAGTTGATGACATTTGAGCAATGAGCCTCTGTTGCTGATAAAGAGGCTCTATCTGTGCAGGGAAATTCCACATTGCTCTTCAAGCGAGCATCTATCATCTCCACGGGCAGCAGCAACAATAGCGGCGCCGGAGAGGATTATGACTACGTAAATCTCGACTCGCGAGAGGTTGTAGCGAAGCAACGTGAAGAATTGCGAGCCGCGCTGCCGCAGGAGCTCCGCAGCAACTATGATCTGCTGGTGTCCGAGGCGGACAATGCCGCGATTCAGATGCCACCCACGACCCCGACGCCCATGGATCCCAATGACAAGCAATTGTTGGCCTTCTACGTCGCCCAGGTCATCACGCACGGTGCACACTTGACTCACGCCATCGACGCCTTTCTGCAAACGGTGGAGCATAATCAACCACCCAAGGCGAGTAGAATTGTAACAGTTCTTATAATACTGGTACCACCCGTCGCGCTCCTTCATGCGAACCATGTAGATCTCGAGCATTAATTGAAATAACAATCGGTATCATTTTCGTCGTGATAAAAATTAAGATTTGAATTTTTTACGATTGTTTTTCTATTTGAAGATACTTTTCTCAGAAATTATTTCATACATTGAGACGTTTATTGATCGAAACAATGTTTACTGTCTTTACTCAATAAGAAAAGTTGAGATTAAGATCTATTGCAATCGTCTCAGAAGTTCAGTAAATTTTCTTCCATTTTTTTCATTTGGCTTGAGCGTTGTGCTTTTTTATTTACGGAACTTTAGTATATGTGCATATAGGTCAACAGTCTTGATAAGAATGATAGACTCGTAGATATCGGCAGTGCACTATTGTGTGACAGGGTACTTTAAGTTAGCTCACGTCAACTGCATGTTTCCATTACTTTTTTACGATGACCTCTTTTCTTTCACAAGTGCATTGCACGCAACCGACATCGCGGTTAAAGATAAATAATTAGTAAAGTATACATTGTAAAATTAGGAATGAAACGATAAAATTAGAAAATAATATTTGAAACTTTAGAATATTTTTTATTGATAATTTTTTGTTCAAGCATTATCTTGATTTTTATAAATCTTCTATCAATATTTCATCTGCAAAAATTTAAATATCTATTTATCATATTCAAATAATTATTTATTCAAATCGTTCATTCTTTAAATAATTTATAATCTTTTTTGTTTATTGTAGATAAACTAAAATAGGAAGGATTTGTTTGAAACATGCAATGAAATTTTATAGGTTTTCCTAGCTCACGGCAAGTTCGTCGTGCTGAGTGCGCACCGACTAGTGCATATCGGCGACACGGTGCACCGAAATGTGACACGTAACGATGTGCGAACGCGCGTGCTACAATGCGCGAACGCTCTGAACGAGGCGCTCGGGCAGACAGTGCAGAAGACGAAGCAAGCCGCTCAATTCTTCCCCAGTGTTACCGCGGTCCAGGAGATGGTCGACAGCGTCGTCGACGTCTCGCACCTGGCCAAGGATCTCAAGGTCGCTATGATACACGCTGCTCAACAACCCTGAGGAGAATTGTCACGATGCGGTCGCGAAACCACAAGTTCCTTCAATTGAGATGTGGTCCATGATAGATTCTTCCTCATTAACGGAGAAACTTTGAGGCTGCGAAAGATTTAAACGCGTAACGCGTTTTTGAATTTATCTCGCGATTAGAGTTGATATACCGATCGATTGATAATTTGAAGATAACGCTTGAGGGATCATGTCAAGATTATTCGCTGTATTTTTTTCTTTCTTCGTCGAGATTTTTAAATGTTGCTACGAATCTTCAGTACGTTGATTAAATAGAAATTCTTTTTTATACAAAAGTGGATCAAAAGTATCTCAGGAATTTCTCATGGATATGATCTTTTAAGCGTTATCTGAGAGAATTATTGGTGACTGACTTTTGAAATTCAGCCACTTACGAGTAGAATACAATAGAAATACTGAATAAGCCTGTTATTTTTTTTTAAATGAGCACTAGTGCAAAAAGAACACTTAGAATCCTAACAGTACTTTCGATATTAAATGGCAAAATAATCAAACATGATCCATATGCGCTTCACGAAAGTGAAAAAACATGTCCGGATATTCGCACACTTTAGTGCGTCTCATGCAGCTATTATTCTATTTCATTATAAAGAAAATCCGTGGCCTAAAATGGGAACCTGCTACTGCCAAAGCTCCGGTATATAGATCGTAAGAAACGAAAAAAACCACAACCCTGGAACGAGTGTCTTTGTAATGTACTCGAAATTAATATAAGCATTGTAATCTTTCATAGGAAATATATGTAGCCGTTTAATTAGATGACGTAGGTAGACGTATAATGTGAAACGGAATATAACGAGGCCAATAGCTTTCTGACTTGAGTAAAGCATTTCCGAAATGGCTTTCGCGAATTTGCGATCTGGTAAACATTGTTGTTTTGCCACATCGTAAAGTCCATTTCGAATATACGCCCACGACGTATGTAGCTAAACGTGTTAGTAGTTTTATAGATGTATATGTATACAATAGAACATTACATGCGAATAGACAGCTTGTATTCATATCTCTCTTTTAGAGAATCAGTTTCACCGATATCAGTTACCCGTAATTTTATTTTCGCGAATTCCTTGTTCTTTTGAAAAGAATTAAAATAAAAAGGAATAACTTAAATTGCAATTACAATTAACTGATATTGCTGAAATCGACGACTAGTAATTTCATTGACGAGTTTGAAGCGTTTTCCTGTGGTGAAGAATCATTGCTGCTTTTACTTAAAAGGCAAAAGACCGATATGAATACCAATGTCGAATTGAGGAACAATCGTGTTTCTGTTTTTGTAATTCGATCGTATATCAAAAAATTGACACCAAGAAAATTCAACGCAGATTCTCTGCAGGCAGTACTTTTTTTGAAACATTCCGTGAAGGCAAATTATTATTTATTACTTATTACTTATTGCGGAATACAGTTTTTTTGGAAGACAATTTTTAACGAATTTTATACAAAGCTTTTACCGCCGGGTTACGACTTTTTCGGATGCCCAGGCCTTTTTACCAGGCTCTTCCATAACAATGAATTAGTCGTGCGCACATTGTGAACCGCAATCAGCGGCGGATCGAATTTGTTAACGCGCAAAAATTTCCACGGCAACTACGCGTACTCGCGAATCTTTTTGCACAACGAGACCAATAACGCCTTTTTGATAAAACGAACGAACGGATGTTTTTATTAGATCTATAGCAGGTTCTGACAGATTGACAAATGTTTAGAATATTGCATCAGAATTTTCGTTTTATCTCTTAGATTATTTATTTGCATTTCCATAACTTTCAATTGGATTAATTATGAAATTTTAATTATCTAATTATTGAAACTCTCTGTTTTTTTTACATTACATTAAAATGGATCTAAGGACTAAATCAAGGCTAAACCAAACAATATCATTATTAAAATCTGAAAAAATCAGGATTATCTGGATTATCTTTAAGTTCACGTTTGTTGAGGCCAAAAGTATGTATACGATCCAACTGCTAATTTGCGGCGCACTTATTCTAATGGCATTCTCCACGTGCGAAAGTGTACTTAAAAATAGCTCATCGATATATAGCATTCGCTCAGTACATGCGAAACCATCCAATTTTGTATCTATTAGAGTTTTACCGCGCCTCGTTTAAATAACAGAGAGAGATATAATTGTGATTGCGATTACGCATGTTACTAATCATGTATTAAAATGTAATCGGCTGTTTTGTTGCAACTTTAACGATAACGAGCATTTATAAGAATTCTCCCATTTATCTGGAGATTTATTTTTATCTCTCCTTCGAATTCTTTTTTATCTTATTTTGATTGATTAATGTGATTTATGTGTGTTGTGTATAACAATGCAAATGTTTAAAGAATATCCTGAAACGATCCTTTCAGGATAATTTATGACATTTATCTTACATTTTATTTTTTTTAGAGACTAAATATTCAAGCATATCGTGGAGAAGCGTTTATACACAAACCTCATTTATAAGACTTGTATTATAATTTATTGAGGAAGTGTTTTTGTAATATAATACATATGTCAGGCAGTTTTATATATATACATATATATATATA